TTCTAAGCTTGGACAAAGGTCTAATTTCTATTTTGCTGCATAGATACTTCTAGCCACTGTTGAATATTTCTTCTTTATTAGTCAGTATACCTAATAGTATGTTCTTAGCTTCCATAGGGAATTTAAATTTTAATATGTTCTGCATTTTTCCATTTATTTCCGTCCAATATCTATTTGTTTTTTTACAAGTGAAGTTGTTATGTGAACCTTAAAGGAGTTATGGGACAGTAGTGAATGGTGTGTGAGTGTATATGAATATTGTTGTAGATCACCGAAATGATTGCATCTTTAATTTCGTTGTACTATGTACAATTACAATAAAGTATACTACTACTACACATATGGTAAAGCAGGGCTCTTTTTGTAGAAAAAGCCCAGCAGGAACTCATTAGCATAATAGGCCACACCCAACAGCAGGAACTCATTAGCATATGGGGCCACACCCCTGACAGCACAGCTCATTAGCACATTAGACCGCACCCCCATGTTATCAGAAGTGTGGTTATCCAGCCACACCCACCTTTTTCTTGTTATTCTGTTTACCTTGTTTGTTGTCAAAACCCAGGGCTTTTTTGTAGCAGGAACTCCTTTGCATGTTAGGCCACACACCCCTAATGTAGCCAATCCTAATGAGTTTCTGCTGTTGGGTGTGGCCTATTATGCTAATGAGTTCCTGCTGGGTGTGGCCAACTTGGGAGCCAGCCGGAACTCCGTTCCTGTGCGTTCCTGCCCAAAAATAGTCCTGGTAAAAGGTTCCATCCATGTCTTGACATTTCCAGCATTTTCCTTTGTAGTTTTTGTTTACTTTCTCAATACCCTTTGGGGTTATATACTATCTAAAAACATTTTTACAAGTTTTCTCTTAATGCCTGGCTGGCTGGAAAATCAATTTCTTTTCCCCATAACCATTCCCCTTGATGCATAGGTATCTGCTCTCTAAAAATCTGCATCCATTTAATCATACGTTTTTTAAACTTATGTCTCCATTGTAGTAAATGGTCTTTTTGTTTTATAACAGCTGTCCAAATTCGGTTACCTCTTAGAGCTCCACCTTCTGTGCTGATAATCTTCTTTGGTTTTGAAACTGATTTATAATATAGCAACCACTGAATGTTGATTCCTTCATCTCTGATATCTTGCCAGGACTTGATTTTTCCCTGAGCATTTACCATATTGTCGTAAGATAAAAAACCACTTTTATTTCTTCTGTTCTTATCATGATAAGCTTCTGTTGGGGGCATGAGTGGAGTATTTGGAGGACTCAGTAAATTCCGGCGTGTAAACCATATTCTCAAAAGTCCAATACTATGATTTCTTAATCCATAAATAATTGTGTAAGCCTTCATCTCGGTCTGCTGATTCAAGTTTTACTGTTCTTTGTCTTGGGTTTTTAATCCAATCTGCAGTCCAAACCAGAGGGAAACCAATGGTTTGAAGATCTTTTTGTACTAGATCCTTTACTAATCAGGTGGTGTTAGTAAAAGAAATGCCTATCTCTTTCTCTCCTGGAAACCTCTTTGAGAATGTCTCTTACCTCCACCTTCTACCTGCAGTGGAATGGGAATGAGAATATCAACAGCAAACTGGCTTCACTGTTTAAAAACAAAACTGTGAACATATATCCGGGGCTTGATATGTGCTCAAATGTCATCAAGAAGTGAGTTTCAAGAGTCAAAACATGGAAGTTATGTTGTACAATTTCACATCCTCCTGAGAACTGCAGTCCCAGACTTCAGCCTTATGCCAGGGCTAGTTATAATCTCTATTTTTTAAAGATTACAGTTATATCCCCCCAAAATCAGGATTCTTTGACAGTCTATATAAATCATAAACGTTTGCATGATTTCTCTGATTTTGCATTAAAATATTCTGTGGTTTTGGCTACTTTCTAGTGGTTGGCCAAATCTGAGGATGCTTAAATCTGGTGACTGTAGCTGTGAAGGGGCATGGCAGGTATTTCTCCAAACCTGAAAAATGCCCAGTTTGCAGAAAAATCTTTGTGTCTGGAGATAAGTTGTAATTCTGGAGGTTGGCAACCCTAGGCCTGGCAGCAACTACTGGGTGACTTGATACTACCCCATTTGTATGGCTCATCTAGGCCTAGCTGCTTGCTACTGTTTAACAGCAGCCACCCTATGAAAGCCAGTGTGATGTAGTGGTTAGAGCTTCAGAGAAGATCTGGGAGACCCAGGTCCAAATCTCCATCTTCCTTTGGAAGTTCCCTGGTTGATTTTAGATAAAATTCAGGTGGGTAGCTGTGCTGATCTGAAACAGCAGAACAGAGTTCGAGTCCAGTGTCGCCTTTAAGACCAACAAAGTTTTATTCAAACTATGAGCTTTCGTGTGCAGGCACATTTTCTGAGAGATTTTAGGTTAGTCACATTCTTTCAGACTAACTTACCTCTGAGATGCCTCCCACAAGAGAGTTCCCTCTTTATTGATTCTGCCAGTCAGATATAGATGCATTGATCTATGGGCTGCAAAACCATAGCTTTGTATTGTGTGAACCGGTGCACTATCTGCACACCTTTTTCAAATCTTGTTCTTGTGAAGATGGATTACATATAGGGAACTTTATTGTATGGTAGCTTTCTTGTTGGAGTGTATGCTGTGTGTTCAGTGATAAGTGTTAGCTGAGCAGAGGGCTTTCCCAGTCCTCCCTTGCTGAGCTGTAAAGGAAGAAGAGAAGAAGAGATTGGATTTATACCCCGCCCTTCACTACCCAAAGGTGTTTCAGAGCGGCTTACAAACTCCTTTCCCTTCCCCTCCCCACAACAGACACCCTGTGAGGTGGGTGGGGCTGAGAGAACTCTGACACAAACTGTGGATTACATATAGGGAACTTTATTGTATGGTAGCTTTCTTGTTTGAGTGTATGCTGTGTGTTCAGTGATAAGTGTTAGCTGAGCAGAGGGCTTTCCCAGCCCTCCCTTGCTGAGCTGTAAAGGAGGGCGGACCGTGAAGTAAGGTAGTGGCCTGTGCTGTGAGCAGGAAACAGTGGGGCTGTGGACTTTGGTGCCTGCAGTCACGAACCAATGTAGCCTCTTCACTTCTCTGTGGAGACCAGAGCAGGTGATCAAGGATAAGGACGTATTATGGTGGCAACTCTTGGTGGCTAGGAACTGACTGTGAATAGGAACTGATTGACTGTGGATAGAGAGGATTGGATGTCACAGAAAGTCACTAGGTATATATTGACAGATACTGCACTCACTAGCTACAAAGGAGGAGCAGAAGAAATAGTGGAGCAGTGCAGGAGAAATAATGTGTAGTTGCTTATTTGATTGGGTTATCAACGATATGAAAATTGTCTCCTAATTTTGCCATCAGTATGGTTTATGTGGCTGTTTACCTGTGCCCTTTCTGAGTTAAGAAAGAGGTGAATGGAAGAAGGAAGTCTTTAAAAAAATATATCACTATTTTAATTTATTTATTTATTTGAAATTTATACCATAGCTCCTAGCGTAGTTCAAAGTGGCTTACAGGAAATAGTTAAAGAACATCTACCAGTGGCCCAATAATCCTGAAGATCTCTCAGTTTAGCCATATTCAGGAAATGCTCTTCAAAAAAACGGCCTCATACAGCTTCCGTCAATCAGGAAATAGTTAAAGAACATCTACCAATGGCCCAATAATCCTGAAGATCTCTCAGTCTAGCCATATTCAGAAAATGCTCTTTAAAAAAACGGCCTCATACAGCTTCCGTCAACAAAGACCCAGCGGACCTTCTCTCTGGGAGACTGTTCCACAGTCTTGTGTGTCCATCAGTAAGAAAAAGCAAGATCTAGGACAGAGATGATAGCATATGGTGGAACCTTCACTAAATATATATCTGAGCATCATTATTGCAGTGGTGCTACCAAACTCCTTCTATAGGAGGCCTTTAAATTAAATCATCCATAGTTTCAGATACCAAATTATATCCGCCTTGGTATGTATGAGCTATGATGTGTCATGGATTCTTCAGCTTTTTTTAAACTTAGCAGATTTTTGTATTTTACTTCAAGAAGATATTTAAGAAGATAGTGCATTGTAGCAAGTGAGCTGTTTCATGGTTGAATTTATTTTAACAACCTTTTTCTTCGCCTCTGGATAGAAACAAATTCAAAATTTCTTTTCAGACAGTGTTAACTCCACTCCTTCTGTGTTGCCTTTGAAAAATGCTATCATGTTCTGATTTTTTTTTAAAAAAGCTCTTTTATGAATAGTGTAACAAATCAAACAGGAACTCAAACTGGCAGAAACACTATTTTAGATGGCCCGTTTACTTTTGTGTTTTTCATAACATCTAAGTATTTCTCTATGTGTTCTTGGTAAGGATAAGCACATTACAATTCTTCCTTAAATTCTTGTGTTCCCAAATGGCCAGAAGACAGCTGGTAAATTGCTGCATTGAACAGCTACATTGTACTGGAGAATAGCTGACCAACAGCAATAGCCTCGATAGATTTCAGTGTCTGTGTTTGTGCATGTGTGCATACTTCATGCATTCGCTGTATAGAAAATGTTACTTAGAGGTTCACAGTGACGAGAAAAAAAATGTTATCTTTCATGTGCTTTCTTTCTTTCTTGCAGAGCCACGAGGATTTTTTGACCACACTATAAACTGTATAAGCGCAGGCATTGCTGAGAGGCGGTTACAAGGTACTTGCCCACCAATTGGCCGTGGAAATTTCGGAAAGCCGTTCTTTGCTACAAACTGTTACAATTCTCCATTTATTAACTCCCGGACTGGTTTCCATACTATTCACTCAGAGAACAGCCCAGTAAAGCCAAGGATTGTCACTGTAGTAAAACCTTGTGGTCACACAGTAAGGAAGATAACTTTGCTTCTAAATCGGCGTTCTGTTCAGTCATTTGAACAGCTGATTGCTGACATCTCAGAAGCTCTAGGATTTCCACGCTGGAAGAATGACCGAGTCCGAAAACTATACAATTTAAAGGGAAGGGAAATTAGAAGCATTTCTGACTTCTTTAGAGAAGGTGATGCATTCATTGCCATGGGGAAGGAGCAGCTAACTTTGAAGAACCTTGAAGTGGCAATCCAAGAACTTTATCCTCAAAACCCTTATGCTCCTGCTGCTGGAACTACTCTTCCTGGAACCACGCAGAACTGGGAACAACCCCAAAAGCCCAAGAACAGGTCATATGAAAAGACTTCAAGGATAGAAAATGGCCTTGAGCCTATAATGGTCAAGAACTGCATGGAACCCTTGTCTCCTAAACTGATAAACAGGCATGAAGTAAAAGCTCAAACCAAGGTCAGGCAAGAGGAGAAGGTGAGAAGCAAAAAGAAATGGTCTAGAGACAGCTGGAATGGAGAGCAAGATATGAAGCCGCCTAGAAAAGCCAGAGAAATGGAAAGGTATTTTGACCAAGAGAGACATCTTGAAAGCACAGCAGAGGAGAGCTCAGAGGTGATAGTTAGATGTGAGAAATGCCAAAGAGAGAGGCAACTCCAGCAAAGATTGCAGAAAGAAAGACCAGCTGATCTTCCATTCGATAACAGGGATATGAGTATGAAAGTGTGTCAACGATACCATGTGGAAAAGACTGTGAAATTGCGAAACTGTAGGAGATTGTCTGAAAACTCAGCAGAAGAAGATGAAACGATGTGGAGTGATGCTGGTTGTCAGAGTACGTGGACAGCCCCACAAAACCATGCCCCTGAAGAGCTGGAGAAGCCAAAGAGGAGTGTTGAGAGGCAGCAGACACTGCAGAGCCATGAGAGTTATGACAAAGAATTAGGAAAGGTGAAGATGAAGCCCATAGAAAATCAGCGCACCATTGTAGGAGATGCTTATGAACTAAAAAAAGAGCACAGAAAATGTTCCAGAGTGAATCAAAGCTGTTGGTTGCTGAAGGGTTCTGAAATGGATGCCGATAAGCTGCCAAAAATCCAAGGGAAGAGAGAAGAGGTTCAGAAATCAAAAGAGGAAACGGTTGGAGGAGAAGAGAAGGTGAGACATGGAGAAGTTGAACGAACAAGGCATGAAAGGGAGGGAGAAATGAAAGGCAAAGAAGAAGAGAACAGTTCAAACAAGACCAGTGAGAAGAGGCTGAAGCATGATGTCCAGAGCAGAGCAGATGTGGAGAAGTGCTATGAGATTGGCAGAACTATTGGAGATGGCAACTTTGCCGTTGTGATGGAGTGCCGTCACCACCAGAACAATCAGAAGTATGCCATGAAAATCATTGATAAGTCTAAGCTGAAAGGAAAGGAAGACATGCTAGAAAATGAAATTGTGATAATCAGGAGTCTTTTGCACCCCAACATCGTCAGCCTGATAGAAGTATTTGAAACTGAGACAGAGATCTATCTAATTATGGAGTACGTTCCTGGTGGGGACCTGTTTGATGCCATCATTGAGAGTGTGAAATTCACTGAGCGCGATGCTGCTCTCATGATGACTGATTTGTGTGAAGCTCTGGTTTATATTCATGGGAAGAACATTGTCCATAGAGATCTCAAGCCAGAAAATCTTCTAGTAAGTATTTAACATATTATTATCTCCCTTAATCAGTTGAAGTCTTACACCCACATGAACATATATATGTGTCTGTGTGTTTGTATATTTATTTCACTCTATTTTTACTTCATTTATACTCTGCCTCCCTAATGAAGACCAAAGTGGCTTATGCTCTCCCCCATTTTATGTATGCACATGGGAAATATTGATAATCAATTATATTTGTTGATGGGGCACTACAACTGCAGGAGAGTAGCACAGAAAAATGTTGGAAGACAACATTATTATGGAAGAAGGTATAGAAGGGAGAAAATTACTTGCTGGCCTACTTATTGTGTTTTGGACATGGGTAGTAAAATTATCAGAAAAGGCATGTGTTAGAGCTGTGACAGGGCATCTGTTATTCTGTCCCCGGCACCTCCAGTTAAAAGGACCAGGTAATGGGTGTTGTGAAAGACTAGAGAGCTGCTGCCAGCCAGAACAGATAGTACTGACTTTGGTGGACTGATGGTCTGATTCAGTAAAAGGCAGCTTCGTGGGTTCTCATTAAGTGGACTGAAGGGGTTCCTCAAGAGTCAGGTGCACAAGTGCACAAGATGATGAATGTCACATATCTACACGATCTGTGGAGGTCACCAAACTCCTGGACCTTCCCAAGCAACAGCAGCTAACCAATCATGCTGAAAAGAGACAGGTTTCTTAATTATATAATTCCTGTATGTTATGGTACATAGTTCTGTTTTCAGTTCCAGTGACTTACTGGAGCCATTTTCCTGAGGTCAGGAGTTCTCGTCCATTACCTTTCTTATCTCAGACTGTTAGGCAGCTGCTACTGTGCCCTCCATCTTTCTGAGGAGAAGGATAGATTTACATAAGAACATAAGAGGCGCCAGTGTTGGATCAGGCCAAAGGCCCATCCAGTCCAACACTCTGTGTCACACAGTGGCCAAAAATACCAGGTGCCATCAGGAGGTCCAGCAGTGGGGCCAGGACATTAGAAGCCCTCCCACTGTTGACCCCCCCCCCAAGCACCAAGAAGACAGAGCATCACTTGCCCCAGAGTCCCTATCTATACCTTGTGGCTAATAGCCACTGATGGACAGAAGTTTTCTGCTTCATAAAAGTAACATAATGACTGAGGCCTGGTTCCAGCCACCTGAGGCAGACTGACAGTGGGATATCACACAGTCACACTATTTTGGCATCTCATTCTTTAGCTCCTGTCGTTGTCTTCTGTTTGGCTGTGATACTAAAATACAGTGACTGCATCTCTCTTCCTCCCACACATCTTTTCCCCAACCCACAGCCACATTTCTTCCATCTCCTTCCTTAAGGAGATTGAAGTGAAGTACCCGAGTTTCAAGATCACACAATAAATAACAGATTTACCGCTTTCAGACTGAAGGCTTTTTGCATCAGAAAATAAGCAGTCGGGGGTGGGGGAAGCCAGTTGATACTGATGAGTAATGCGTGGGATTTTAAAGGGGAAAAGGGAGAGAAAGTGCAGGTAGGCCTTGGTTGTGGCTGGCTTACATCTCAGCTGGTCCTCTCTCTCCTACCCTATTAAATATTCTCCCCGGTAGCAGATTTGTACCACCTTTGAGCTGTAAATAGATTAAAGGAAGCTGCGGTTGGGGAACTGGGTTAGTGGTGGAAGATAGGGGGCACAGCAGTATCTTTTGACTCCTGTGGATGTACTTTGGGAGTCAGCACAGAGAGAGGTCTTCTGGAATGGAGCGGAAGGATGAAGACATACCAAATGGTGAGAGAGCTAGGAATTGAAGAGGAATGACCTGGGAGTGGGAAATAACTTTCTGGTAATGGAAGCAAGTGTTTTGGGTTAAGCATACTGTCTTAGGGTGTGTTCAGACGGGGCATTTATACCAGTATAAACTGCTGCGGTTCCAACCAGTGCAATTTGATCCGGAAGAAACGCGATCACACTCACCTCCTGACTGTGCAGCGCATTGTGATATGCCCGTTCACTCTACTGACGTGCAGGAGCGCACATCGGCGTTAATTTTTTTTTTACATTTTGCACATGCGCATAGGCAGCCATCCACAGAGTTGAGATCTTCGCGCAGGCACAGAACACCCCATCCCGAAAAGTGTGCCCTGAAGCGAAGACGTCCCTTTATAAATTTTTACTCTGAAACTGGCTTCCGGGAGGTCCCGGACTCGTCTAAAGCCTTACACTAGGCCCCCCCTTTTTTTGTTTGCTTTACAAATGCTGAGGTGAAGCTTCGCCCAAGCGCACATCAAGGAGGCTTAAAAAAAAAGGCGGCCAAAAAGCAGAAGCCTCGGCTTCTGAACGGAAGTGCCTAGACACCAATGGAGAGCGATCAGACGACGATAATGCGGTTGGAACTGGTGCACTCAGGATACCACCACTTGGGGACCTAGTAGCAGAATACAATGGTTGAAGGCTGTTTGCAATGGTTAGGGATGGAAGGCAGATGTTCGCCGTGTGATCGCCCGTAAGTACACCGATTCCAACCGGCATCTATACCGGCATAAATGCCCTGTCTGAACGCACCCTTAGTGCAGTATTTGTGTTGATACTTTTGTTAACAAATTGCACTGCATCTCAAACTCAATTATGTCCAAGACTGAATCGATTTTCTTTCTTTCTTCCACATACCTGTCAACACAATCCATTCTGTCCAGTTGACCAGCATAAAATTTGACTTTTATCTCTCATTCCTTCCTCTCCTTTGACATGAAATGGATCCGGGTTAGCAGCAGAACAGTTTTAATGACTGAAATGTGGGTTTGTAAAAACTGTATGCCTCAACACTTTCGTATGCTGCAGCCATACAAGATAGACAGTATCAAAACATATCCACGCATTGACAAAAGGCTGGATATTTCCTCCCCTTTGGATTAAATACTGACTTTGCTAGCTTAGATTTTATTGAAATCAGCAAGGGCAGGCTTTCGACAACCCACCTGAGACAAATACTTGAATGTCATTCGGCTCCCAGCCAGAGCTCTGGAAATGGAAAAGCCTGAGGCGGAAAAGGCATAATACTGGGGGCTCGAAGAGATGGAGGTGTGGACACAAGGCAGGGATTGAGAGCAGTGGTGGCCACCAGTGCTGGCCTGGCCAAGTGTACAAGGCATAGGCTATTAAGAGGAAGGGTCAGGCAGTCCAGCTCCTTCAAAAACAGAAGATGTCATCTCTTCTCACTCTCCCCTTGTCCCAAACAAATCCTGTTTCAGTCGTGAGGGTAAGATTCATAAATCATAATATACGATAACAGAAATGTAAATAGAAATAGTGAATGTAGTAGATGGTGGTCTCCGGAATGATGTGCCGTTTCGAAGATGATCTTCTTCTGAACAAGGAGGTGTACATAAACTGTCCTTCAACAATTCATATCTCTTGGTGACGTATTGACAATATACTGTAGATTCACTTCATCATAAAGCTATGCTTACAGCTATGTTCTTCAATGGGCTATGGTTGCTGAATGCCTATGGTTGCTGAATGCCTATTTCTATTTACATTTCTGTTATCGTATATTATGATTTATGAATATATTATTAAGCGCTAAATTGTCACAGTTCTTTTCCATTTTTTCATTTGTCTCATTACTGTGCCCATTCTTGTAACTATTCAGTCGTGAGGGTGCCAGGCAGCTGTCAGGACAAATTCTCCTTTCTCTCTTGCCTGTGCCATTCTTAATCTTGGTATGGGACACAGATCCTCTCTCAGCCTGTATGTGCCCCCCCCAGTCTCTCTGTGGTGTCTCACACCCCAGTCCTGTTTTCCAGTCTCTCTCCTTGCCCCTTCCCCAGTATACATTAGCAGTATGCAGGAGGCTTCCCTGCTGCCCCGGTCTGTACTGAAAAATAACTGCAGGGGGAACCACTTCCACATTTTCGGGGGCCCTCCTAAGTGCTGCTGTGCATGCAGGAGCATTGCATATCCAGAAGCTGGGACTTACCTGTTGCTTTGTTGAGTTCTGTTGCTTAAATCTTTGACAAGCTGTAAGACTCGAGCCGGACCCATGCAGGCCAGGCAAGTTCCCTAATGTTGTGTGTGTGTTCAAGGGCCACTCACACACATCTTTTAAAGTTTTTCTTTAAGTGTGAATATGGCAGATAGGGATTGCAAATGTGTGTTATGTCGGCATGCTTGTTAGGGAGCTCCGATTCTCTGCAGATTCTGTTTGTTTACTATACAATTGATGTGGAAACCTGCATTTGCCTCTCTGTAATTTGTGATGTGGGCTACAGAGCCATAAAATTGGGCATGTTGATGGCTCACTAGGGAGAGGCCTTATTAATTGGACTGCATTTCATTTGGCCAAGATCTCAGTATTTGGGGCATACATTTCAAGACTCTTAAAAGACGTGGATGGAGAACCCAGCAACTCTTTTTTTTGTCACGGTTGCCTCCATTCAGTACTACTAATAATAATGTTTTTACCATTCAATACTAATAATAATAATTAATGTTTAAAAACAATTATTTTACATCTGTCCTCTGTCCCCTTCTAACCATCTGTTGCCTTGTACAAACAGGCTGTACAAAGTTGCTGCATGAAAGCATGCGTAACAGGAACCGGTTAGTTTCAGGTGGGTAGCTATTTTAGTACAGTGGTAAGAAAATTCAAGTGCGGTAGCAGTTCAGAGACCAACAATATTTTCCAGGGTGTAAGCTTTTGTGAGTCATAGCTCACTTTGCCAGATACCTGGAAAACAGGTAAGAGGGAGAGCATAATCTATAGTACATAGCCAACTAGAACTAGAAAAATTCAGTTTGAATGTAAATACTGGTTAGAAATGCTTTAAAAGTGTTTTAAAATTAGAGTGTTTTTTTACCTCCCTACACAGATGGAATGCTTAGGGGAGTATATAGTTTGAAGGGATGTGTAGAGGAAATAACTTCTACAGTAACAGCTGGGCTTGTTTCTGTTCCCTTGGTTTTTTTTTTTTGTTCTTTTGGTTTTCTGTGGCCCAGGGAACACATCAGGAATGTTGTTGCTCCTCTGGCATGGATGCCCTGAAATAACAGTGTAGGGTTGCCATCTTGTGTTGCCAGAAGGTATAGCAGAGGAAAATGCAGAGGCTCTAGTAAAAAAGGTAAAGGTTCCCTTGCTCGAAAGCCAGTCGAGTCCGACTCTAGGGTTGCAGTGCTCATCTCCGTTTCAAAGCCGAAGAGCCAGCGCTGTCCGAAGACGTTTCCGTGATCATGTGGCCGGCATGACTAAACACCAAGGCGCACGGAACGCTGTTACCTTCCCACCGAAGTGGTACCTATTTATCTACTTGCAACTTCTTGCTTTCGAACTGTTAGGTTGGCAGGAGCTGGAACTAGAGACGGAAGCTCACTCCGTCATGCGGCACACTCGGGTCTCGAACTGCTGAACTACCGACCTTCCACAGCCTGCAGCTCAGCGTCTTAACCACTTGAGCCACCGCAGCTCTAAGCCTGCAGTTATTCTGCATGGGGGGGACACCAGCATCTTTGAAGCCACTAAGTGTCTTGCTATTCGTATGATACACATGCATGCGCATAACAGACACTTACATGGCACATCGTAAGATATAAAGGCCTACCTTATGTTGGTTTAGAAAAGGTATAGGCAATCTTGGGGGGGGCAGGTATATATAAAAAAACCCCTCTGTGATATTTGCCTATGAAGAAGTTGGCATGCCAGCTAACTGGGATGATGGGCAAGGGCACTGGGCAAGCTGAACCCCAGTGGTATTGCCACCTCCTGAGGGGCTTGCTACAGAAGCTTCTCAGGTGACCTTGGGCCCGGCAGTCTCTCTCAGCCCAGCCTACCTCACGGGATTGTTGCTGTGAAGAAGAGGGGTAGACGGATGTGATAAGCTGCTTTGAGTCCCCACTGGGGAAAAGCGGGGTATAAAAATCAGCTTGCCCTGGTATTTTAGGGGGAAAATGAGCCATTCCTCCTGAGCAAAGTGGTCTGGCATGCTAAAGGCTGCCTGTCGCTGACTTAGACTATTGGTCCATCTAGGCCAGTAATGTCTAGTCCAGCTGAAGCTGATCTCCGGGGACCCACACAGCTGTATGCTCCTGCCCTTCTGTACAGTGTCCTTTTTAAATAGAGAAGTACAGTATTGAACAAGAAAGAAGACCAGCAAAACTCGCGGGGGGCGGGGCGGGGGAGCTCCAAACTGAGCTGCCGGAGGAGGAACCAGCAGGAGCAGGTAAGCTTCCCCCCCCATCCTGCCGGTTCCTCCCTGTCCTCCACCCCCCCGCTGGATCTTCCCCACCGCCTCCTCCCTCCTCTACGAACCTCGTCGGTTCCTTCCCCCGTTGCGAGCCCCAGCGGTCTCATCGGTTCCGTCCCCCCGGCTCCAAAGCGAGCCCCGGCCGGCTTGTAGCTGCTGGGCCTCGCTGCTCCCCCCCCAAGCGAGGGCCAGTGGCTTGCAGTCGCCCAGGCCTCGTGGCTGCTCTTGCACCCGGCCGGCTGGGTCCATGGCGTTGGATGTGGTGGCGGCAAGGCTGGCTGCCTCCCCCCCAAGCGAGGGCCAACGGCTTGCAGCCGGCCAGGCCTCGCGCCCTCCCTTCCTCTCACGGGTCTGGTTGGCTGGCTTTGAGGCGGCGGCGACAGCGAGGCTGGCTGCAGAGCGTTCCCTGTGCATGCGCAGGGAACGCTCTGTCAGTTTTGGGGGGATTTAAGTATTCCCCCGGTTTTTTTTTAAACTTTTCAGATTTTTGTGCACACCTGGGGACCACCCCACGTGTGCACAAAACTCCCCCTCCCCCCCAGGTGCCCCCGGTGCGCGGATTTAGCTTGATATGGGACCTTTTGAATGCAACAGATGCTGTACCACTAAGCTATGAGCATAGCTCCAACATCATGCCGCATTCCAGGCAGTAAATACCCCACCTGGAATAGCTGGACTCTATAGTTGCTTATCTACAGTGTAGAGGAAAGGCCGTGGGAGTCTTTGGTGACACTTGTGGAGCTTACTTACCACAGTGGCACAGCATGCAGGCATGTTTAAAGCTTTAAAAGTGTTCTTTGACATTGTATCTGTGCAGCTGTTGTCTGTTTGGGAAGGGTTATTTGCAATGGGCCACTGAAGGCCTCTGGTATAGCATCTACTCAGTTCCACCTTTGGTTATTACAAACATATGTGTTCATTTTGGAAACTGGACAGCTTGATCTGGATTCTGTTTTTGTCTGTGCAGGTTCAGCGTAATCCAGATAAAACAACAACATTGAAACTTGCAGATTTTGGCCTTGCGAGGCAGGTGACCAGGCCTATATTTACTGTGTGTGGAACTCCAACTTACGTTGCCCCGGAAATACTTGCTGAAAATGGTGAGTGTGAAATTGTAACTATTTTATAATCTGTTACCTTTGTGCATTGTTTAATTATACAAATATTTGCCCCTGACAAACATCTACAGTGAAATGTCATTAATTTTCATGTAGTACAGCAGGGTCTCTGGAATCCTGTCTTATTGGACTGGAGAAAATACCACCTTTGGCATGAATACCATTTACTGGAACTCAGTGAGAAATATCCCATTAGTCAAACGGTCGCTGGCTGTTTTTGACCCAAAATGTTTTAAGTACAATGTAAAGCTGTATGCTTGTAAGTGGGGCCAGCCATACACCCTCTGGAGGTATGGGACACTATGAATGTGTGTATGAATGAGAGAGAGAGACTCAGTACAACAGGTGGTCCCCTTATGAATGGATTGTATGCCCCCTGGCTGAGGCCCCTCACTGATCCATATTAGATTAGTGCATGTGTATATGAAGCTGCGGTGGCTCAAGTGGTTAAGACGCTGAACTGCAGGCTGTGGAAGGTCGGTAGTTCAGCAGTTCGAGACCCGGGTGCTGCATGACGGAGTGAGCTCCCGTCTCTAGTTCCAGCTCCTGCCAACCTAGCAGTTCGAAAGCAAGAAATTGCAAGTAGATAAATAGGGACCACTTCGGTGGGAAGGTAACAGCGTTCCGTGCGCCTTAGTGTTTAGTCATGCCGGCCACATGACCACGAAAACGTCTCTGGATAGCGCTGGCTCTTCGGCTTTGAAACGGAGATGAGCACCGCAACCCTAGAGTCGGATTCGACTGGCTTTCGAGCAAGGGAGACCTTTATCTTTACCTTATATGAAGCTCAGTGGTTCCCTCACTTCCCCGTTATCTTAATATGAATTGGGAAAAGGAGCTTGAAAGAAGTGCAGGGTTGTTTTTATAGTATTCCCTGTCTGCAGTGTTTGTGTGTGTTGGGTGAGATATGCTGAAAATGCAAAAGCATATATTGGGGCAGGTGTCCCAGTCCACAAATCCTCATACGTAGGGTTGGCAGTCTGAGGGCCCACAGCTATGAGCAAAGATCATTTGCCTGTTCACATGTACAACAGATGTTTGGGCCTCTTTTGGAGGGTAGGAGAAAGTGCAGCAAGTTTTAGGGGAGCCAACGTTTGAGGAATACTCTTAGAATCATCTGAGGTCCGTTCTAAGCAATACAAGTTACCATGTCTCTGGATGGTGATGTAATGTCTGGCATTAGTTTGGTTGTTGCAGACATTAATATTCATTGCATGGTGTATAGGAGTCATTGCTAGCCTTTCAGTGGATGTTGTAGAAGCCACTATTTATGTATTTAGAAGATTTCTATGCCGCTTCTCCAGAGTCCTGCTCAAGGAGGGTCGCATAGTCAAACAATCCACCCTTTTCGTTGTGGGGATGGTTTTCTCCTCTTCGTCGCTCATCTCAGCGTGAGAGAGGCTCGTAAGTAGGGAAAAGTAAGATTCCTAACAGAATGTCAGGTTCCACAGTCAAACAATCGAGTACACGCTTATAACAAGGTTATACTTTATTGCCAGCACTATGGATGCAGTAACATGGTCACTGTTAGGAATAACTACCTTCAAGCAAGCATATAGAGATATAGGGCATTCATATGCGCCCCCACCCCACCCTTGGGCCAATCGGCCTGACTCCTGCATGTGGGAATGGGGCCCAGGAAATCGAAACTAGTTTCACGGATAATTAATGGGAAGACACTACACAGGCAGTCTACAAGGTCAGTGATAACGAGGAGCAGAGGAATGCAGCATCCTGGTACATAGGTCAAGCAAGCGGTCCCTGGCCCATAAACATCGTGGCAGCATAGCTGACAGATATGTGCTGTTAACTTGCAGCTGACTTATGGTGACCCCGGCAAGGGGCTTTCTAGGCAAGCGAGAAGCGGAGGTGGTTTGCCACTGTCTTCCTCTGCAGAGCTTTCCTTGGTCATCTCCCATCCCAAGTACCTACCCTGCTTAGCTTCTGAGATCTAATGAGATCAGGCTATGTTATGCTATCTTCTCTTGCTCAGGCAGGCTTACAATTAAAATATTAAATTACTAGTATAAAAACGAGCCATTAACGCTTTGAAGGAGAACCATAGAGACACAGACAGCTAGATGAGTCTCCCTTACTGCAGGCGGTAGAATCAAATCAGTGGCTAACAGAGACTAAAAGTCTTGTCCTCTGTGAGCATAATGCAAAGCTTCAAATTGTTACAGGCTAAAAGCAAACCTAGCAGTTCGAAAGCAAGAAATTGCAAGTAGATAAATAGGTACCACTTCAGTGGGAAGGTAACAGCGTTCCGTGCGTCCTGGTGTTTAGTCATGCCGGCCACATGACCACGAAAATGTCTTCGGGCAGCGCTGGCTCTTCGGCTTTGAAACGGAGATGAGCACTGCAACCCTAGAGTCGGATTCGACTGACTTTCGAGCAAGGGAACCTTTATCTTTAAAAGCACATGAAATCTTCACAAAATGTTTGAGCTGGCAAGGCTACTAAACTTCACACAGCATGTGTATCATTTAGACTAGGACTTAATGTCACTTAAAATATTGCCAATTACTCATCTGAATCCATTTTTCAGGGTTCAGTATAAGCGGTTCTTGACAAATCATTGGTATATCTCAGAGTTTCTGGACTTCCTTTTCGTTACCTCTAGGCTATGGACTTGAAGTGGACTTGTGGGCTACTGGTGTAATACTCTACATTTTGCTTTGTGGTTTCCCTCCATTCCGGAGTCATGAACGAGATCAAGAGGAGCTGTTCCAGATCATACAGCTTGGGCATTATGAATTTCTCTCACCATACTGGGACAACATTTCAGCTGGTAAGCTTTAAAAAAAAAAAAGCCTGAAGAATTTATAGCCTGATTTGTACATATCAGGCTTTGTGATTATACCAATGGTGGTGTCCATGTGTTTTTGACTTGTTGCCACTGAGAGTGCAGAAATGTTCTCAGTGGCTGCAGATCTGGAGAATTTTTTTGCCTACTTTAAAAAAAAAAGGGGGCAGTGCTGGTTGATGTATTGCTCCTGCGTTATAGAGCTATAACTGCTACCATTTTTTTAATGAAGACACTCCGTGAATGAATTACGAACAAAAGCAGAAAACTTCTATTGTATGATACGATTCAAACAATTTGGAATCTTTGTTAAAGAACGCGGCAGTGAAGCCAGCTGTGTATATCTGTACTCACATAAGACGTGGAAGTATCGTACTCCTGAAGTTTTTTATACAAAGGAATTGTGGACTCTAATTGTATTCACCCTTTGTATTAAGTACTTTTTGATCCTAGCTCTTAAAAAATAATAATTATAGATATATATATCTATATATATCTATATATATCTATATATATCTGTATCTATCTATCTATCTATCTATCTATCTATCTATCTATCTATCTATCTATCTATCTATCTATCTATCTATCTATCTATCTATAAAATAGCATATATATATATATATATGGGTTCTTTAACAAAGATTCCAAATTGTTTTAATTGCATCATACAATATAAGTTTTCTGCTTTTGTTCGTAATTCATTCACGGAGTGTCTTCATATTTATACAATCTCCTCCCATGAGCTCTCATTTCTTATATATATAACCATTTTTTTTAAGCTGACAAAAAACGTGCTGGTGGAAAGGGTGGTTGTGCGGGGATGGTGAGGGGAAACAGCAGGGACTGTAGGTATGGCGGTTCAGAAATCTGCACTTTCTCATCTACACTGTGGGGAAATCTGCTTTGACTCTGATGCTTCTAGAAGCATTGGAGCAAACCATGGGAAACCATGGAAGGAGCACTGATGCAAGGGGATGAAGTGGTGATGCTCTGTATGGAGCAGCCATTGTGACATTTTGATAAGCCTATGGCATTCTGAGATCCTGATGGTTATTGTTAATGACATGTTTCCGGGTTGTACATCTGAAAATATAGGCTTGAAATATGTGTGGTAGGAGAAGCAGAAGAAGCTACATCATGTAAGCAGATGCTTTTCTATCACAGAATTCAGTATGAATTGTATTGAATTTAGGGTGTAAAATTTTGGTGTATTGGACAGGGGTGCAGTGCAGATTTCCAGAGTGTCCTATGCTGTTTTTGTGAAACTTCCTTCATTATAAATGAAGGTTTGCTAGAACTCACCCTGATATTAAAAATCAATTCGCATTTTCTTAAATATTTGACTTTTAATGATTCTAATGTAAAAATCAGGATGGGGATCACAGATTTCTCGCATAATGCATCTACAAGCCTTGACCAGTACAGGCACCATATCTGACTCTTTTTGACTATATAAACCCTCGAGTCTGTATCACAGTCCCTCATAGCCCTGCCGTGTCCTGTTGCGTTAGCTGTTACTACGTCTTCCCAGTTTTAAGAGCCTTTCCCCCCCCAAAGCTAGCCCATGTTAATCCCTGCTCTTGTTTTTGTACCAAATAGCTGCAAAAGACCTGATAAGCAAACTCCTTGTGGTGGATCCTCAAAAGCGTTACACTGCGCAGCAGGTTCTTCAGCATCTATGGATCCAGACTGCTGGAAAAAACAGCAGCAGAAATCTGCAGAGAGAGGTGACTATCAATCTTGAGCGCCACTTTCGGAGCCAACGCAAGAAAGAAGCGACCAGTGAAGATTCGTAGAGTGTGTTCCCAAGCAGCTGTCATTTGAACAATGAGTCCACTGTGCAAATGCACAGTCGCTGGGTTTTTATTCTTTGTTCAGATATAGAATCTTCTTTTAAGGATCGAGCTCAGCTGTTTTGAAGCTGAAGCCAACTATGCAAAGCACTGATTGGCTGCCTGGCTCCCTGTGATGGCACAAGGCTAGTATTAAACAGTCCTTTTAATGAAAACGTATATGCTGCATTCTTTTCTTTTCTTTTCTTTAAAAAAAGGCTTGCCAGAAATGTGGAGGGCAGGGCAAGACAGTTGACTTGATCTCTGTTCTGTTTATTAAGCATTTTGTCTATCATTGACATTCTCAACGCGGGAGAAAAGAGGGTTCAAACCCCTTGGTGAAATACGCACTGTGACACCTCCATTCGGCACCTCTGTGCACATCCGAAGACTATTTTAGTATTAGTCTAGTTCCTGAATGCATTATCCTCATCTCCTATTTGAAGAGTAGGACTATGCTTTGTTCCTGCCAAGGCACTTAAAAAAAATAGATCTTAAATGTGCTGAAAAACTGCAAAGGCCTTGTCCAACTGCTAGTGAAGTCTCTCAATATTTCATTTTATCTGTTGTCAGTTTTGGCCAGGATCACAAGAGCTACTTGAGGTAAATCTGGATGCTCGGATATAAAATTCTATATTAGCACGATTCAAGTCCAGTAGCACCTTAAAGATTTCCAAGGTGTCAGCTTTCGAGAGTCAAAGCTGTCTTCATGAGATACCCTACACACCAATGTGGCTACCCACCTAAAAGGACTAACTATATATATAGTTCTGAGTCAACTTAGTTCCAAAGGTGTTTGCCATGGGGGGGGGGGGAGAGGATTTGGTTGCTGGACATGTGACATACAGAACGGGTTGTATGGTTCTTTGGATCCTGGCTATTGAATTTGGTCTTGGTGGTCTGTTTTCTTTGTATAGTTGAAAAACCTGTATGTTTTATTGGTAAGGAATGGAGGGGGCAGGATACACCTTGTATGTATTTTGTATAGTACATGTGGAGTCTTGTTTCTAGTATATTTAGATGTATATATTTTATTCTAAGAATGTAATAGAAAACAATGAAACAATAAGAGGTCATTGTACTACTAAGATCTACGCCAGCCTGGTAACCTCAGTTGATCTTAAACCAAAAGTTCAGTATAAAAGGTGAAGATTTGGATCAAAAGAGAAATGTCCCTCTTGGTTTAGCCAAGCAGTGGTATTACACTAAGTCATCCCTGTAGACAGGTTTATCGTTTGACCTTGTGTACAGCAGAAATAACATTGTTGTTTCCAATATTAAGAAATCAGAATGAGAGTTCGAATACTTTCTTTAGGACATCACGCTTAATTAAGCTGCTGTTGTGAACAGCTCACAAGATGGGGAGGGCTTGCTAATCTTGTGCTTCTGCGTAATTTTTCGAGCTTGAATCAAGAACCTCATAGTTAAAGGTTAGGGCTGCACCTAGTTAAACCACTGTGCACAGTCTGTGCTCAGGCCGACACGGCCCCTGCTATTGGTAGGAAATGGATAGCCTCTGGAGTGGCCAGGAACAGTCTTGGTGTGGTTAAGTCTGGGCTTCTGACTACCTGATCATCTGAGCGCTACCTTCTTCCCTCACTCCAGATTCTCCATCTTTTGATGCTGGAGGTGATAGGCAGATAGTGTACGACCTTGATTAAAAAAAAAAAATTGGATGATGCTCACTATGAGAAACAGAAATCCAGCATCTTAGATTCCCTGTTCTCACAACAGAAAGTTCAGTTCAGTTTCTTCTAGGAATGGGATGGGTGAGAAACAAGACTGCATTCCGCTTGATGGGTGGTGGGATGGTCCTCCATTGATGGCCGTTCACGGCAGAATGTGTTTATCTGAACTGAAAATTTGCCAGCCTGGTTTTTGCATCTTTTCCCCTTGGGCTGATATGTAATACTGATGAGCAGAATGAATGAAATAAAAACCTCAGGAATGTCTTTGCCTCTGTTTATGAAATACTCTCTGAGTGGTGGGAGGAACTAATAGAAAGGTAAATTCTGTAGGAAATATGAAACAAACTATGTGTTCTTAAAGCAGTGCTGATTTTTACCATCCACTCCCGTGATTCGTTTTCTCATTTACTTTTAATAGCATAATTTAATAGTCTAGTAGCCGGTTTGGTGTAGTGGTTAAGTGTGCGGACTCTGATCTGGGAGAACTGGGTTTGATTCCTCACTCCTCCACATGCAGCTGCTGGATGACCTTGGGCAAACCATAGTTCTGTCAGAGCTGTCCTTGAAAGGGCAGTTCTTGAAAGAGCTCTCTCAGCCCCACTTACCTCACAGGGTGTCTGTTGTGGGGAGGGGAAGGGAAAGGAGTTTGTAAACTGCTCTGAGACTCTGCGTGAAGGGTGGGGTATAAATCCAATCTCCTCTTCTTCTTCTTTAAAATTATGTATTGTAGTTAACAACATAGATATTTTCCAGAGTTCTGGCATTCTTTAAAAATGGGACAGGTCATAATTTGGGGCCCAGAGTAGATGAGATGGGACTAGCCCATTTGTCCTTTCTTTGTGTAGCTAATTCCTGCCTAAAACTAGTAGTGGGGACTTTGTATTTTGCATCTGAGTGAGTTCCTGATTGGGCTGCCCGTCAGAACCAGGAGGCAAGAAGAAGAAGAAGAGGAGAAGAGATTGGATTTATACCCCGCCCTTCACTTGGAGTCCCAGAGCGGCTTACAAACTCCTTTCCCTCCCCCTCCCCACAACAGACACCCTGTGAGGTGTGTGGGGCTGAGAGAACTCTGATACAAACTGCTCTTTTTCAAGGACAGCTGTGCCAGAGCTTGTGACTGGCCCAAGGTCACATCAGCAGGTGCAAGTGGAGGAGTGGGGAATCAAGCCCGGTTCTCCCAGATTAGAGTCCACACACTTAACCACAACACCAAGAAGATTGGAGACTGAAAAGCTTTTAAGCAACAGTGAGTAAAGCCAGGGTTAAGTCCCTTTCACCCTTGTGACTCTGCCTCCTGTCTTAGAGATAAGCTGGGGCAGATGCGAATAAACTAACATGGCTGCCCGTGTCACATCTGGTATCACTTTCAGCACTGAAAACACACAGGGGTATGACTTGCATGCAGAGTTCCACCCAGTGGTAAGTCACCCAGTCATTTGCTTCTCCTAGCTTGTGTCAAGCTCCAGGAAGTACAGGGCTGTACATATTCTGCTTCTACACATTGTGTGTAAGAAATCCAGTTCTGCTTAATTCTGTACAGCAAGTCGTAAGAACATAAGAAACCCTGACCGGGATGGCCCAGGCAAGCCCGATCTCATCAGATCTTGGAAGCTAAGCAGGGCTGACCCTGGCAAGGACTTGGAAGGGCGGCCAAGAAATCAAGAGTAACTCGAGTGTGCGGAAATGATCCCGGTCTCCGCTGTTTTTGTAATTCAAGGACATTTGTAATTTGGCTGCTTAAGTCAGGAGTTTACTTACTTGATTAGACATTGCCATCATGATTTTTCTCTTCCAACTTGAAAGCTAGAAGCTTGTGCTGTTGAAAGGTGCAGAATTTCTGGAGTCTGCAGGGTATCCAAATCCTGTGTTTATGTGAAGACCTGCCAGGTAGCTGGGAAAAGGAGCAAGAATGAATGATTCCAAACTCGCTGTAGCTGTTGGGACTACGAACACCATAATGGCAGCAGATAGGACCCCATATTTGTAAAGGCAAGATTTTTGCGTGAGCTACAATGGGAATAAAAATGTCCAAATCTGAGGTCATTCGTGCACATGAACCTGACGTTTTGCCTTTGGTATTAAGAGAGGAATCAAAACTGCCTTATCTTTAATCCACATTTAATTAAAGTATGCTGTAGAGGCTGTCTGCACTTCAAAATTTTCTGACCTGTGAATGATCCTTAAAAGCTCGCAACTCATTTTAGGAAATGCTGCTTCAGGTATCAAGCTCAAGGATGCAGGGATAATTTAAAAGGTCAGAGATGGAAGAGGAATGCACATTCTCAAGTTCAGGGCTCCTGCCAGTCTGGATTTCAGGCTGTGCTCTGTTGTCCTCCAAGAAACAAACAGCCTATTGTGATTTTTTTTTTCATGCTCTACAGGAGGAGAAGACTTTGCTTGTGATCAATTATTCAACAATGTTCTTTGCATCACTTGCAGCTCAGAAGGGACCCTGTCATTCTCTTTGGCTATTTAACTCCAAGCGCACAAAAGCCTAAGAAACCAGAGCTAAACTTCGCCTTCAGCTGTCCCTTAATCCCCCCCCCCATTTTGTTACCTGATTTGGATGCTGTCTTTTCCCTGATTTATGAAGACACCCAGTTTAAGGACAGGATTATGGGAAGATTTTGGGTTGTCTTGTGGTCACAAATGGGACCTCTCCCTTTTCTAAGCCTTGATTACAGAGTAGCTGGTTTATTTATTTATTTCCTTCAATTTATATACCGCTCACCCCCTAAGGGCTCTGAGCGGTTTACATGTTCAGTTAATACCAATCCTTACCTAGGGCCACATACATACAATGGGGAGTGACTAGCCTAACAGGCACCCTCTAGCGAGTCTTCGTTGTTATCTGTGGGAGATCTTTTCCCAGTCCGGCGACGATGTCCTTCTGGCACAGGTCTTCCATCGGTCGTTGCGACTCCTTCGGGCCTGGGCCAAGCGCACGTCCGCGCGTGCTTGCTGCCGGCCTCTGTCTGATAGGCGCCGGCCTGATGTGTCGCCCCGCCTCCGCGCATGCCGGCCCAGCCTCCACTCGCTTGCTTGACTTGCCAGCTGCCGCCATGTTCTTCGCCGCCGCCCCCCGCTGCTCATGCCGCCACCATGCCATGAGGGATGGGTGCCCCCCCGCTCTAAGAGCAGGTACCCATTTGTCTACCTGCCCTTTAACGGGCTTACGAGCCGCTGGGTGGGCGGGAGCTGGGACATAGGGCCGGGAGCTCACCCCGGCCACGGTGGGGCTCGAACAGCCGAAGCTGTTCGGCCAGATGTAAATGC